CTCCTCCTCCTCCTCCTCCTCCTCCTCCCCCTCCTCCTCCTCCTCCCCTCCCCCCCCTCCTCCTCCTCCTCCTCATCGTCTTCCTCCCCCTCCTCCCCCTCCTCCTCCCCCTCCTCATCCTTCCCCCTCCTCATCCCCCTTCTTCTTCCCGACGGCACCGAAGCCCGAAGGCCGCAGCGAGGCACTGAATTAAAAGGAGGAGGAAGAGGAGGAAAAACGGGTACTGCGAGGGTTGGTAAGGAGGAGGAAGAGGAGGAAGAGGAGGAGGAGGAGGAGGAGGAAAAAATGGGTACTGCGAGGGTTGGTAAGGTGCCGCGCACACCCGGCGCCCTTCCCATGACTGCGAGAGTTGATTGGGCGCCGCGCACACCCGGGTGACAGGTACCGCCCTCCACTCTTCCTGCCCCCTTCACCAAATTGTCCCTGGTCACCCGCCTCCATGGCACTAAAAAAGTTGATTAGGTGCTGCGACACCGCGCCGCTTTCCCCGATCAAGAAAAAACTAGCAAGGATACACGTGAAACCTGAGCTGGCGCCGCAATGGATACCAGCGCGGCCGCGGCAGTCGAAGCGCTGGCCGCGGGTAGTTTCTTGCCCCCGCGTTTGCACCGTACCCCCCTTGCCCTGCTGACTCCACATCCCTCCAGACCCCCACAGGCGCGACGACTCGAGCGAACGCGCGCCCAGCCAAGAAGGGAGGGGAGGGGAGAGATGATTGCGAGTGAAGTCCTGGAGGAGGAGGAGGAGGAGGAGGAGGAGGAGGAGGAGGAGGAGGAGGGGGACGAGGAGGAGGAGGAGGAGGAGGAGGAGGAGGAGGAGGGAGGAGGAGGAGGAGGAGGAGGAGGAGGAGGAGGAGGGAGGGGAGCTAAGAGCTCAGAGGGAAGCAGAGGGGTGCGAGATCCTCCCTCGCAGCAGCGCCGTCGCCGGAAGAGGGCACCCCGGCCGCCTCCGGCAGCCGGGATCGGGCTGCTCGGAACGGCTGCGCCGCTCTAAAGACGCACAACTCCGAGCTGTTGTGCTCGGAGTTGCGCTGCTCGGGGGTCCTTGACCAAGCCTTCGCTGGCAGCTCCGCGCTGGCTGCTGCCTGTGCTGTCCCTGTGGGAACAGCGCCCCCCGCGCGGGAGGCTGGACAGAGCCTGGCGAAACGAGGGCTGACCGACCAGTAAGAAATGGGTGGGTTCGACCGCGGTCGCCGCGAACTCGCACTGATCGACCCAGACAAAATCCAAGTTGCCGTTGGGGTCTTGCCTGCCCTTGGCACGCAGATGAACTGTCTCTGGCAGAAACCAGCTGGAGGGGGCCAGGGGGTCCGAAGGAGGCGCGGGGTGTGCAAAAGGTATTCTGACCCGGAACCCCCCCACCCACCCACCCACCCTCCACCCTCCCCCCCACCCCCCCAACCCACCCACCCACCCACGCCCCACCCCCACCCCCCACGGCAGGGAAGGGATCCAAGGGAAGGGATTTCCCTTTGTCTTAGCCACCGCGTCCCTCAATTGGTTTGTTCCTCGACTTCCTCGGGACTGACGACGACGGCAGCATCTTCCACACGCCCAAGGGTCGGCCGACTCAGGCGTCATGGTCTCGCCTCAGTGCTGGCTGCATGCTTGGTCCGGACGGCCAGGACCCGTTACAGAGAGAATGTTCGTTAAGGTGCACGCGGCCGTGCTCTCGCCCCGATGTCGGTCACGATCCTCTGAGAGACATGCGTTAAGGTGCACATGGCGGTGCTCTCACCCCTGTCCCAGCTGTTCTCACCCCTGCCCAGCCCCCTCACCGCTGTCGGTATTGATCAGGGTGCTGTGCTGGGGTCGTTGTACATTTCCTCTGTGTCTGCGGCGCACCCCAGAGTTCCAACCTCGTGACTTCGTTCGCGACGTGGATCGCCGTAAGCCATGACCCCTGCCCGGGTCCGCGTTCTCATCCCGAGCCGTTCGCAGGACGGCCTCAGGGCTTGGTGAGGGCCCGCGGAAGTCTAAAATGACCCAAAGACTTCCGTTAAGTCGTGCCTGTCCCTCTACAGGCGGAATCTTCAAAACTAGTCCAAATATAGTCTGGGGAGGATTTCTTGATTATTGTTTGTTCATTTGGAGGCATGTGTTTATTATTTTTATTTTCCACACGCAAACCCCCTGTAGGGAGACATGCCCGACCTAATCTAGATGGGGTCGGAGTAGATGGGGTCGGAGGATCGCGCCGCATCGCCGATGCATCGCCGATGGGCTCGATGTGCAGCCGGAGTTGCTTCACGTCGACGTCGCCGATGCATCGCCGACGTCGACGATGCAGCGCCGTTGCCTCGCCAGTGCACCGCCGATGCATCGCCGATGTACCGGCGATGCGGCGCGAAACCTCCGACCCCATCTGCTCCGACCCCATCTAGGCGGCCTCGAGAACCAGAGCCTCGAAAGTTCCGGATGGAGAGGACGACGAGCGGACATTGGTTTTTCCGCTGCGGTGTTCTCGGGGGTGCCGACGTCCTGGCGCCTCGAGGCCCCCTGTCGGGTCCAGGCTTCGGCGAGGCGCAGCTGGTGGAGCAGATCCCGAGGCGAGAGAAGCCCCGCGGAGCAGACGAAGAGGAGGAGGAGGAGGAGGAGGAGGAGGAGGAGGAGGAGGAGTAGGAAGACGAGGAGGAGGAGGAGGAGGAGGAGGAGGAGGAGCCACTGGAACACATCCCGAGGCTCATGATGCCCCAACCTACTTTGGCCTTGACCACCAGGAAGAGTCTCGAGTACCGACACTGCACGGTTTTTTCACGTGTCGGGCTCTGGGAAGCGATATTCTGTCGACACTGTTTCGATACTTCTCCGGGTGCTCGAAATTACTTCTGGGATCTGGCCTACTTAAGTACGATGGGAGCAACATAACCCGAGGTCGGCGGTGGACAAACCTCCCTTTAGTAAACCTCCCCTTAGTGAAGACGGCCTGGGACCGAAACCGACGGACCTGGACCCGCAAAAATGACGGCCGCGACGCCCTCTCGCGAACCGAAAACGGCCAATTCCTCAATCGACGTGTCAGGGTAGCAGGTCTGTCCCACCCCGACGAGGCGAGAGGAGCCTGCCGGAGCCGCCGAGAGCACGCCCGAAGAGAGGAGAGGCGCACCTCACGGGCGGGGAGCTTGCTTTCTCGGCCTCGCGCGCTTCGCGCGCCGCCGGTCCTGGCCCCCACACTCAAGTCGGGCCTGCCCCTCTACAGGGGGAGTCTTCGAAAATAGTCAGAAAACAGTCTGGGGACGATTTGTTGAGCACTTGTTGGCCAGTTTGGAGTATTTGTTTGGGGTACTTCTTATCTTTCGTCGAAGAGATCCACCCGTAGGGGGGCACGCCCGACTTAACCCCAAACCCCGCCCTCGCGGGGCGACACGCCAGCCACGTCCCAGCTGCGGGCACGAGTGAGATCCACAGCCGCGAGCCTCGCCGAGCCGCTCGCCTCGCGGAGTGGAGGGCACGGCGTGTCGCTAGGGCCGCCGCGGCGATATTCTGAGCACAAGTTCCCTGACGAACCAGCAACACACACCCATACCCATAGAGGGGTCGGAGAGGGCTATGGGTGCGTGTTGTCGGATGGGGGTCCCCGCTCGAACGGGAGCGTTCCCCAGGGTCCGACAACCCGCATCCATACCCATAGCCAGTCCTCCTCCCGACGACCCCCCTACGGGTATGGGTGTGTGCTGCTCGTTCGTCGTTCCCGACCGTAGACTCCAGGGGGGGCGCACCGCCCCGATCGACCACGTGTATCGCCGACAGGGGGGCCCCAGCTGCGGGCGCGAGCGAGGGCCACATCCGCTGCATCGCTTGGGCTTCCTGGGAGGGGGCGCCGGAGGAGGGAGGAGGGAGGAGGGAGGAGGGAGGAGGGAGGAGGAGGGAGGAGGGAGGAGGAGGAGGAGGAGGAGGAGGAGGAGGAACAAACGCCACACGAGCACAGCCAAACGTTTGGCGCTCCGCGCGGGCTCCTTGGCTCCGCGCTGGGCCCCCACGGCGCCGCCTCTGGCGCGCCTCGTGCTCCAGGGAGGGGGGGGTCCAGCGCAGATCCCAGACATCCGCGCGGAGCACCAAAAAGTCTCTGCTTACGCCGTTTGCTGCTCCTCCACGACGAGGCCGAGGCGCAGTGGATGTGGACACGTGTCTGGCCTCAGGAGGGGTCAGAGCTTTCTCCAGATCCGCTGCGCCTCCGGTCTGCTGGGGAAGGGAGCTCAGGACTCCAAGACGCAGCGGATGTGGATGCGAGCGTGGCCCGCACCAGTGCCCCAAGCGTCAGCGTCCCGAGCCCTTCCCTGCCCCCCGTCCCGCGGAGCAGAGCGACACGCTGCCAACTCGCCTGGCACGGCGTGTCGCTGGGGCCGCCGCCGCGAGACGCCAAGCAGAGGCTCCTTAGCGTAGCATTAAAGCGGGCCTGTCCCTCTACAGACGGGATATTCAAAAATAGTCAAACTATAGTCTGCGGACGATTGCTTGAGCATTGTTTGGCTATGTTGGGGCATTGTTCACTATTTTTTATTTTTCGTCCAAAATCCCCCTGTAGGGGGACACGCCCGACGTAAGCGTAGCATTATGATGTTCCAACTTGCTGCAGCCTTGATCGCCAGAAAGAAGTTCGAGCACGAGGAAAGCACCGAAACTGGAGGGCTCTTTCACGCGTCGGGCCCTGGGAGGCGATGCTCGCTCGGCACTGTTTCGATAACTGCTCGTTCTGGGTGCCCGAAATTGTTTTTGGGATGTGGTGGCGGGAGCCGAGAAGCATGCAGGAACGCAGGGCCGTTTTCTAAAGGTGGCGCCACCAACCCATGTGTCATGGCCGTGTCGGCGCGAACTGCTCCGACCCCATCTGGGAGGCATGGGAGATCGCCCAAACGCCGTTCGGCTCCGGGGAAGGACGATGGAGATGGGAGGCATGTGAGATGGCTGGGGCCCCGGGGAAGGACGATGGGAGCAACATAACCGTAGCAGCGCCTCCGTGCCGGGAGCGGCGGCGCCCGCCTGCGGCGCCCGCGCGGCCAGGCGGGCCCGGGGAGGCCTGGCGTCCTCGAGCGCGCCTACGCGCAGCCGGAGCACCGCCAGGAGCTGCTGGAGCTGCTGGTCAACAGGTGGGACGAGGCCCTCCCCGCAGGGCAGAGGATCGAAGAGGGAGGAGGAGGAGGAGGAGGAGGAGGAGGAGGAGGAGGAGGAGGAGGAGGAGGAGGAAGACGAGGCGAGCGGACGCACGAGCTGCCGCCATGCAGCAGCGTGTCCGCGGGGCCCCAGATTGGCCCACGGCGAAGACGGGAATGTCACGGACCCGCCCTGCTCCCCCGAAAGCAAAGTCGAAGAAGAGAAAACGCCATAAGCATAAATTGTTGGCGCTCTGCGCGAATTTCTTGGATCCGCGCTGGGCCCACCTCCCCTGGCGGCGCCGTTTTTTCTTCCTCTAGAGAAAGGTACCGATGCCGCTTGGTAAGACTTGGGGGCTGCACACAGGGGGTGCGAATGGTGTTGCACCTGGAGTGCTGCCAGACATAGTTCTGTCCGGGCTTAATACTGATAGTCTGCCGAGTACCTTAAAAGTAAAGGTATGCATCAAATTGTATGTCCGAAAATCACCGAGCGCGTTCTTCTACTCGCAAAGTGCCTACTCGCAAACGTCCGAACAAAAACATGTGGTTGCCTCGATGTTATATATCTCTTAAACCCCCGCGGCGGATCCACGGCAATTGCGAGTAGTTACCTAGCGAGTAGAGGAACGCGCTTGTCTAAAAATCCTTTCGGTTGCGGACAGACCCCCTCCCAGGCAGTCTTGATTGGCCTCAGCAGGCCCCACGAGTAGTCCAGGGTGGTCTCGACACCTCAACCTTGGGCCCTCCAGCCCCAAGAGGTCCAAAGCTTCCAGCACTTCCAAACTGAACACGCAACCTGGCCCTAAGCCCGAGGCCCCCTGAGCGAATCAAGGCCTCACAATACGTTTTAGGTTGAACGCCTAAACGAATCGCGGCATGCACTCACTGTGTTGAGCAAGCCTTGCGCTGGAGCAGAGGCCATTCGTGGGTACGCGCATGCGTGCACCCGTGAATTTGTTCATACGTGCAGCCGTGACCTTGTCAAGGGCTGGCGCTTGCCAGACCCCAAGCGCGCGAAGCGCGCGCGTGGTTCTCTCTATCTCTATGCACATGTATGTATATGTGTGTATGTAGGTATGTGTATATATACATATATAAAATATATGTATGTTTGTCTATATCTATATATAACTACTCAGATGTAAATCCAGAGAGCGTGTCCCCAGGCGCGCAGGGACACCGGGGACACCGGGGGACAACTCATTGTAAGGGCGTTCACCCGGTGCCGAGGGACACCGGTGACCAAGAGGCATGTGACAAAACAAACGGGCGCCCGCCAGATGTCCACAGCCACAACGCACAAGGAGGAGGTGAAGAGAAAGAGGAGATGGAGCTCACCGCCTTTCTCCCCCGCCCTCCACATCCGCATCCTTATTCCTCCTTCTCCTCCTCCTTCTCATCCTCCTCCTCCTCGTCCTCCGCCTCCTCCTCCTCTTCCTTCCCCTTGTTCCTCTTTGTGTTCTGCCGAGACATGCCACCGTCCTAGTCCTAGTCCTCCTTTTTCTGGTTCGTCATCCCCCTCAGCTTCAAGGAAAATGTGCCCACACACACACACTCACACACACACACACACACACACACGAACACCCACACACACACACACACACACACACACACACACATATACACATACACCCCACACACACACACACACACACACACACACACACACACACACACACACACACACACACACACGCACGCACGCACGCACGCACGCACGCACGCACGCACGCACGCACACAGACGATGGTCGGCAAGAGTCGGGGTCTGCAGGCCCCCGCACGGCCTGTAAAAAGCGAGGTTGCGGAGCGCCTTGCGCAGAATCTAGAGCACATAACCGGGTCCGGAGGCTGAGAATTTCAGCCGGAAAGGCGAATCTCTCGGGGTTGGACAGACCTCCTACCCTGACACGTCGATTGAGGAATTGGCCGTTTTCGGTTCGCGAGAGGGCGTCGCGGCCGTCATTTTGCGGGTCCAGGTCCGTCGGTTTCGGTCCCAGGCCGTTTTCACTAAGGGGAGGTTTACTAGAGGGAGGTTTGTCCAACGCCGAATCTCTTTTTTTGGTTCGAGCGATCTCCACACGAGAGCGCGAGGCGGCATCCCCAGGGAGCACCGGGCGCCCCGGGGGGCCTGGCGGCCGCGGCGTGCGATCGTCACGCGTCCGAGGCGCGGGGCGGCATCCCTGGGGAGCGCTGGGGCCCCTTTGGGCCTGGCGGCCGCGCTGTGCGGGGAGCGCGAGGCGGGTCGGAAGCTCTTTTTTTTTCCAGGGGCGGCCAAGAGAGGGGGGGGGATGACCAGGAGGGGGGGATATCACGGCGGGGGCCATGATGTTCCCTCAGATTTCATGGCGCCTCTTCTCATTTCTGTACGTCCCTGACCCCTCCCCTGGGCCGCGCACATGCCTCGGGCCATGATTTGCGCCCCCCCCCCATCTTGGACGCCCGCCGATCTTTGAGCCGAACAACCCCAACCTGTCGTGTTGGGGAGAAGCGGTTTTGTGCGTGCCCGCGTGAGGGTGGCCACGGTTTCGAGGATCTGGATTCCCGCGGCGCCCTGGAAGCTGAAACTATGCGATGTTACACCGGTTCCTGTCGCCCGTACGCCTCGGGATCCACCAAACACATAGGTTCCTGTCGCCCGTGCGCCTCGGGACCACAAAACACATTGGTTAATTTCGCCCGTGAGCCCCGCGACCAGCCAAATTACACGGACAAGTGCTCTGTGAGTTTCGGGTCCCGCACCACACATGTTTTTTCGCCCGCAAGTTTCGGGACACAAAACACCTGCGTCTTTGTCGCTCATAAACCCCGGGGCCAGACAATACACACTGGTTCCTTTCGCCAACAGGCCCGTGGGAGTTCAAATCCAGTTTAGTTTTCAAAGGATCGTTGGCCTGGGAGCGGGGATCCAGTGGGGAAGACTTCGAGAGCACGTCCCGTGGCACGTCCCCTGGCGCGTCGCCTGACACCTCCCCTATGTCTGCGGGCGCGTCCCCTGGCACGTCTGCTGGCGAGTCCCATGGCGTGTCTGCGGCACGTCCCCGTCGCTCGCCACCCGAGCGTCTCGGCACGCCTTCTGCCGCGTCTTACGGCACGTCCCCGCTGGTGCCTCGCGCGGTGCGCTCCATCCACTGTCACGTCCTTTGGCACGCTCCTTGGCGTGCGGCCCTCCTCCCACCCGCCCCTCGGCGCGTCCCCTCGCCTCCTGGCGCGCCCACTGGCACGCTCCGTGGCGAATCCTGTGGCACGCTCCCGGGCACGTTCCCTGACCTGCCCCCTGGCGCTTCCTTCGGGCCGGGGCGCCCTTGCTGGCACGTTCGCTGGCACGTCCCTTGGCACGTCCCCTGGCGCGTCCACCGGCGCTTCCCCCGCGGGTCCCGTGGCGCGGCCCCTGGCGCGCGGCCCGGTTGGTGACCCCTGGCATCTTCCCGGGTCCGTCCCTGGGCGCCTCTGCCGGCACGCCCCCTGGCACGTCCCGTGGCGCGTCCCTGACACGTCCATGGCACGTCCCCTTATCAGCGAGCGAAGAACGGTATAAAATAAACTTTTTCGCCGTCGGGGAAACCTGCCCCAGGGCGGCTGGAAAGTTGATACCCCTACAGTGCCACCGTAAGGGTATAAACTTTCCAGCCGCCCTGGGGCAGGTGTCCCCGACGGCGAAAAAGTTTATGTTATACCGTTCTTCGCCCGTTAACCTTAGGCGTCCCCTGGCAAGTATTCTAGTTTTTTTCCCCAGGGCATTCCGGGGCGCGCCCCCGGCACGTCCCGTGGCGCGTCCATGCGGTTTGCGCCTCCTGTCGGTTCGCCCCATGTCGGAACCGAATCGGACCTTGAGTTCGAGCTGATTGAGCGCACCGCACGTTTCGACTACAACCTGCTCTCGGCGAGCCATGCGTTCAGGCATATCGAACCAAACATCCAGATCAGTTCGGCCAAGGTTCGCACACCAAAGCACAAATCACAAGAGCACACCAGATGTCAAGCTGAACAGCACAGTTCAGCACGGCACAACGCAGCGCATCACAGCACAGCCTTTGGCACGGTATCGTCAGCATTGATCAGCATCATCATCAGCAGCAGCAACAGCATCATCATCAGCATCATCATCATCCTCATCATCATCATCATCATCATCATCATTATCATCATCATCATCATCATCATCATCATCATCATCATCATCATCATCATCATCATCATCAGTATCATCAGCATCAGCATCATCATCATCACCGTCATTACCGTTGCACATTGCCCACGTTAGGACAGTTCTGCATTCGTTTCCTGGTCCTCGGGTCACCCATGTGTTTTACTTGACAGTCGTTTTGCTTGTGTTTGAGCACAGAAAAACAGCACCCGGACGCCGAGGCAATCTTGGCTCAAGCAATCTGTGCCCGATCCAGTTGGGCGGACTGTTCGAGTGCGGAGGCGGGCACGACCCCCGTGAGATGTTACGCGACGCGATTCCTCCGATGAGCCATGCAGAGAGTGATCAGCTCGATGCCCGGGTCCGGGGGCCTCCGCGAGGCCTCCTCATGCTCTGCTCCAGCCCGGTGCTGGACGAGGCGGGCCAGGGCGTGCTCGACGCGGCCCTGCAGCTGTTCGAGAGGCACGGCCAGCTCGTCGTGGCTGGCCAGCGCGACGACGGCTTCCACGGGTTCATGCAGGACGTCTTCTTCGGCCCCGCCCCGCCAGGCGGTGTGCAGCCTGGCCTTACGAGGGATCATTGGAGGAGCGCCTATTTGGGAAAGCTTGAGGCGAACGTGGACGCCGTGTCTCGCTTGCGTCGTGCACCTGGACGTGCACCCGATGGGGGGCCAGAAGTACTTCAACACGTTACAATCCACGGGGGTCCGCAGTGCAACTGGGAGCGCGCTGTGCTCGAGCATCCCATCACCCAGGGCCGTTATTGCACTGACCGCTCTGACCCAGCCAGGCCCGTTGCAGTCCCCGTGCTGCACTTTCCAGACCTCGGTGAAGTACAAGATTACATCCAGCGTCACGAAGCCGGAGGGAGCCTGCACGTGGGAGTTCTCAATGTTCGCTTCAGGGTGGGGGCGATTGCAGGCCCCGTGGCAGACGGCGGGGGCGGAGGTGCGGCGGGCCGTGGCGCGCGGCGGGGGCAACTGGAAGGGGCATCGTTGGAAGGGGCATTCGATTGGAGGGGCATCGTTGGAAGGGTTATTGGGATGCTGGCCGATGCGATCAGCTTCGCATTGAATTGGTTCGGTTTCGGTTACGCCGGATCTGCCCACTTCGTGTGCACGGCCTATCTGCATGACTCGAACAGTCTGTACGACCTGCACAAGGTGTTGCGGGAGATGGATGCCCGAATGCGATCCAGGGTCCCGGAGATAGACCTAGGTGCAATCGCAGAGTGGGTTGGGAGCATGACGAATACTCCGTGCATTTGCACTCTTGAGAGCATGCGGATCGAGGCCTCGCCGTTGCCTAATCTGTGCAGAGCGCTTGAGAGGGAGCTGCCGAAGTCTGCTGCCGAGGCGTCCGACATTAAACTCTCGCTGCTATCATTCCTGGAAGGTGTCGAGGGCACCGTCCTCGTGCCAAAGCTCCTCGGGCTCTTTGAGAAGGGCAGCGACTACCAGATGAGGCTGGCCAGAGCAGGCCTAGCGAAGATCGTGACGCAGAGGGCCGCTCTGGCGGACCTCGGCCACGCGCAGAGGGGGGCAGGGGTAGGGCGTCTAGCAATGGCGAAGCGTCCTGGCGTGCTTATAGTCCTACCAAACAATGTTTTAAGTTCTAAGAACCTCTTGTGGTTCCGACGAAATGTTCTTAGAACATTTCTGGTTGGGACTGTCTTGTTTTAACGCATCGGGTTTATGTTCTAAGAACAGTGTTTTTGTTATTAGAACAGGTTGGGGTCTAAGAACATGTCGTGGTAGGCCTATAGGAATGCCAGGACGGTCGGTCCCTGCTCAAGGGGGGGGAGGCTTCTTGGAAGCACCCCCGCTTCCTAGAAGGCGCGGGCCGTCTCCATACACGCAAAGCCGGCGCTTGCTAAGAAGCAGCCTCCTTCTAAGAGGCCTTCCCCGCCCCCCCCCTCCTCCTCCTCCTCTCCTCCTCCTCCTCCTCCTCCTCCTCCTCCTCCTCCTCCTCCTCCTCCTCCTCCCCCTCCTCCTCCCCCTCCTCATCCCCCTCCTCCTCCTCCTCCTCCTCCTCCTCCTCCCTCCTCCTCCTCCTCCTCCTCCTCCCCCTCCTCCTCCCCTCCTCCTCCTCCTCCTCGCTCCTCCGCTCCTTCTCTCCTCCTCTCTCCTCGCTCCTCCTCCTCCTCCTCCTCCCCTCCTCCTCCCCCTCCCCCTCCTCCCCCTCCTCCCCCTCCTCCCCCTGCGCGCCGCCCAGGACCACGCGCTCCGGGGCTGGGCGCAGGCGGAGCTGTGCATCGACTACTTCCCAGACCCCGCGGCGAGGGCCGCCCCGGCGGCGGCCCCGGGCCGGGCCTCGGAGGGCGGAGCGCCCGAGCGGCTGGCGCCCGACCAGCCAGGCTCCAGGCTGCTCTAAAACGACGCGAAGATCGGGACAAAATCGGATCGGGATAACTCGAAATCTCAGAGAATCGGCGGGTTTGGAGGATGTATTGGTATTGGGCGCCGCGGCCGCTCCAGAGCGTTCTGGAACGCTCTGAGAGCGCTCCGGAACGCTCTGGAGCGATTCATCCCGATCCTAGCCCTGTTTTATGCTCAACAAGGGCCTTGGCATCGCTCGGACGTGTGCACTTTTCCTTCGGCGAGGAGCATCGAGGAGCATCCTGGATCATTTGGCGAGAAAAAAAACAACAAAAAAAAAAAAAAAAAACACGCACGAAACCGAAAACAAACACAGGGAATGGACGTCCGAACGATGGCGAGGGGCGCCCTCGAGGGCGCGAGGGGATTCGCGCTTCGCGGTTCGGCTCCGATGCCTCCGCGTCCTCCTCTTCCTCCCCTGGGGGGCGGCGCGAGAGCGCGAAGTTAGTCGCGCTTCGCGCTTCGCGCCGCAGCGCGAAGCGCGAGGTTGGGAGCCCGTGCTCAAGCAGTGGCGAAGCGTCCTGGCGTGCCTATAGGCCTACCAGAGAATGTTCTGAGAGCCCTCTCTGGTTCCCACGAAGTGTTCTTCGAACATTGCTGGCTGGGACTGTCTTGTTTTATCACATCGGGCTTATGTTCTAAGAACAGCATTTTGGTTATTAGAACATCTTTGGGTTCTAAGAACATATCGTGGCCGGTCTATAGAAATGCCGGGACGGTCGGTCCTTGCTCAAAGGCTTCAGTCGGGCATGTCCCTCTACAGGGGAAGATTCAAAAATAGTCAAATAATAGTCTGGGGACTATGTTTTGACTGCTCTTCTGGCTATTTGGGTATGTCTATGTTTTGACTATTTCCCATTTGTTTGCAGAATCCGCCTGCAGGAGGACACGCCTGACCTAACTCTAGGTCTCCTACATGGGGTCGGAGTAGATGGGGTCGGAGGATCGTGCCGCATCGCCGATGCATCGCCGATGCGGCTCGACGCGGCGCCCGATTTGCCTCGCCCACGTCGACGATGCATCGCCAGTGCATCGCCAGTGCATCGCCGATGCATCGCCGATGCATCGGCGATGCGGCGCGATCTCCCGACCCTCTCTACCCGGGCCCCATCGAGGAGGCCTCTGCAGGCACGCCCGTGGTCGTGCACGGGCTCGCCGGCGCGCCGAGGCAGAGCGGCCTCTCCGCGAGGGCCGTGAGGTTCGTGGAGGAGACGGGGTGGTACTCTGGGCTTCCTGGGCGGGGTCGGAGTACTCCAGAGTTCGTAATAAGGGGAGGGGGGTCTCATTTCGGGGGGGGTCTCTTCCAGGTATCTTGGAGGGCCTTGGGGGTCTGGGGGACGATGTTTTGGAGGGTTCTCCCACGGGGGAGGTCTGAAGTGGCTTGTCTTGGAGGGTCCAGACCCCCTCCCTTTTATTACGACATCTGGAGTAGTTGGGGTCGGAGGATCGCGCCGCATCGCCGATGCATCGGCGATGCGGCTCGATGCGGAGCGCGGTTTGCGTCACGTCGACGTCGCCGGTGCATCGCCGACGCCGGCGATGCATCGGCATTGCATCGCCGATGCATCAGTGATGCATCTAACCGAACCCCCCGGATGATAAATCATACCCCCCACTCTTAACGATTGAGAGTTGATTATCCTTGGCCAGTTTGTCAGGGGAGAGGGGTGGCAAGGCAGATGTTGATTATCGCGGGGGACAGTTGCGAGGCGAAGTTGCTATCTTCGTATGTCGTCTAGCACATCATCAAAAACGTTTGGCATGGCAATGGTGGTCTCACCATTTCAGCTTTCGCCAGTCACAAACGTGTGGGAGTGCTTTGGGATTCTCACCATTTCAGCTTTCCAAGTCACGAACGTGTGACAGGGCTATGGGATTCTCACTACTTCAGCGACTTGTTCGAGAATGTTTGCAAGAGAGGCTTCCTGGCGAGGAGCGCCAAGGATCTCAAGAGCGCGGGCCAGCTCTAGGATGTGCAGAGTGCAGAGGATCATCATCATCATCAGCAGCAGCATCAGCATCATCAGCATCAGCATCAGCATCAGCATCATCATCATCATCATCATCATCATCATCATCATCATCATCATCATCATCATCATCATCATCATCATCGGCAGCAGCGTCATCAGCAGCAGCATCATCATCATCACACCAACATCCCCATCATCCTCCTCAACGTCCTTTATGCTGCGATCTGCCCGGAAATCGTTGGTTATCCTCCCTGGACCCCGGCCTTTCTTGTCCCTCGGGATCTCTCATCCGGGGTGGTTGGCTACTCGGACCCCATCTGGGAGGCCTCTTAGGTACGCCGTGCAGCTCCCCGGCGGCGAGCAGACGCTCGTGCGGCCCGAGGACCTGCGGCCAGAGGTCTCCCACGCGGCCAAGGCGGCGAAGGGCAAGCGCAGCGCGCCGCCGCAGGAGACCGGCGTGCGGGGCCGGGGCACGTGCCGTACTTCGGGGAGTCACCAGGGAGGCACGTGCCGTACTTCGTGAAGTACTGCGGCGTGTCGTACTTCGGGGAGGGGGCAGAGGATGGCCTGCCGCACGGTGGAGGCACCAGGGGGGGCACGAAGAATGGCAGAAACATAAAAAAAATCGGAGGCCCGCGCGGATTTCTCGGATCCGCGCTGGACCCCCTGGCGGCGCCTCCGGCGCCGCCCCTGGCGGCGCTCCGCGCGCCAGGGAGGGGGGTCCAGCGCCGATCCGAGAAGTCCGCGCGGACCTCCGAGTTTTTATGCTTATGTCATTCTTCGTTCCCCGAGGGACGGGCGTCTACCCAGACGGCGCCTCGTACGACGGGGAGTGGTACAAGGGCAGGCGCCACGGTCGGGGCAAGCACAGCCACCCGGACGGCCGCTGGTACGACGGGATGTGGTGCGACGACCAGCGGATCGGGGGTGCGCAGAGGGGGGTGTTGGTTCGAGATGGGGTTTGGGAGCGGCCGTCCAGAGTGATCTCGTTCCAGCCCGCCCCCCCGACATCCGCGGGTGCGACGTTTGCAGTCCTTGGCCCCAGAAGTCCCGACCGCTTCCCCAGGGTCAGCTTGTCGTCCCGGACCCGCCTCTGCAAGGGCGCCTCCCTCGAGGGCGCGAAGTCGTTCGCGCGTCGCCCTTCGGCTCCTCCTCCTCCTCGTCCTCCTCCTCCTCCTCCTCCTCCTCCTCCTCCTCCTCCTCCTCCTCCTCCTCCTCGTTCTCGTCGTCCTCCTCCTCCTCCTCGTCTTCCTCGTCCTCCCCTTCCTCCTCCTCCTCCTCCTCCTCCTCCTCCTCCCCCTCCTCCTCCTCCTCCTCCTCCTCCTCCTACTCCCGTTCTCACTCCTCCTCCTCCTCCTCCTCCTCCCTCCTCCTCCTCCTCCTTCCTCCTCCTCTCCTCCTCCTCCTCCTCCTCCTCCTCCTCCTCCTCCCCTCCGCAGTGTCGAGGAGCAGCCTGCCGCTTGCCACGGGGCCCCGCCCCCCGCCTCTGCGCCCCCTCCTCCGGAGGAGCGGCCGCGGCTCGGAGCGCCTCGCGGACGGCCGCTGCGTCGAGGTCGAGTACGCGGGCGGGCGGCGACTGCCCTTGCCCACCTCCTCGTCCTCCGCCTCGTCGCCTTGGGCCTGAATTCGTTGGGGCCCACCCGCCCCCGACGGGGCGGGCCAGACGACGCGCCCGGCCTCACCCGTGCCCGCCCGCGCAGGCAGCTTTTTGGGAGGCGGTGCTGCGCGCTTTATCTGCCTGACGACACTTTTGGACAGGTCGCGGGATAGGCTGGCAGCCTCCTCCACTCCCTTCCCTCCTGTGCACCCTCCTCCCCTCCCTCTTCGCACCCGCCTCCACTCGCGCGTTCGTTCTCTCCTCTCCCTCTCTACCTCCCTCCCTGGTCTCCTGCACTTCTGCCGGCCGTGCACAGCGAAAGGACGCACAGCAATGGGCGCAGACACAGCTGGCAGCGTTCAAGCTGCTCCTGCGCCATGTCCGCTTTTTTTGGCCCGAGAGTTCAGGCGACCGTGCCCTCCTCGCTTCTTGACTCTTAATCTCCATCCTGCTCCGCTTCCTTCTCATCCTCGGATTTTACTTTCACCGCATACTAGAGGCTTAGCATCAAGTCTCGCCAACTCGAGCTGGCGACCTGGAGGCCCATCCGAGTTTCCTCCGAGCTGCGCCCTCCTGGTGCTCCTCTCACTCCCCCGCGGCCCTCCTTTCCCCCTCCTCCATTCCTGCCCCCGCGGCCTCTCGCGTTTAATTTTGACGAGGGCCGGCAGAAGTCTCCACGGGCATGCTCCCGCAGAAAGGCACTCGGGATTACACGCACGCCCGAGCTGCTCAAGCATGTCGTTTTCCCCGCCGCTGCGTTCGCAGAAAGGCACCCGGGGTTGCACGCACACCCGGGCTGCTGACGCAGTTTTTCTGTTTACTCGACGCTTCCGCGCGACATTCGAGATCCGATGTCAAAAAGGTTGCTCCTGATGTGGTATCCTCGCTCTCGGCCCTCCTTTCCCCCTCCTCCATTCCTGCCCCCGCGGCCTCTCGTGTTCTTCATTTTGACTAAGGCCGGCAGGAGTCTGCCCGGGCATCCCCCCCGCAGAAAGGCACGACATCACGACATCACGTCCTCATGACACCTCCCATGGGGCACCTACATGGCAAGTGCGATCTCTGTGATGGTGTCGCAACCGACCTCACTTACACACTACGCCACGCCGCACCGCACCGCACCGCACCGCACCACACCGCACCGCACACACACACGCACACACACACACACACCACAACACACCACACCACACCACACACACGCACACACCACACCACACACCACGCCACACAACATCACGCCACATCACACCGTACCCCACACCACGCCACGCCACGCCACGAGATCATGACACCACCCACGGGACACGACGGGAGAGCGACATGACGACTGTGATGTCTGTGTTGATATCACAATCGACGCGCCGCTGGCGCAGCCGGCGCCGCTGGCGCAGCCGGCGCAGCCGGCGCAACCAGCGCGACCGGCGCGACCGGCGCGACCGGCGCAACCGGCGCAACCGGCGCGACCGGCGCAGCTGGCGCAGCCGGCGCGACCGGCGCGACCGGCGCGACCGGCGCGACCGGCGCGACCGGCGCAACCGGCGCGACCGGCGCAGCCGGCGCAACCGGCGCGACCGGCGCGACCGGCGCGACCGGCGCGACCGGCGCGAAAAGGGGACCGAACTAGAACCAACCGGCGCGACCGGCGCGACCGGCGCGACCGGCACCGGCGCGACCAGCGCGATTGCGACCGGCGCGACCGGCGCGACCGGCGCAACCGGCGCGACCGGCACCGGCGCGACCGGCGCGACCGGCGCGACCGGCACCGGCGACCGGCGCGACCGGCGCGACCGGCGCGACCGGCGCACCCGGCGCGACCGGCGCGACCGGCGCGACCGGCACAACCGGCTCGACCGGCGCGACCGGCACCGGCGCGACCGGCGCGACCGGCACGATCAGCACGACCGGCGCGACCGGCGCGACCGGCGCGCCCGGCGCGCCCGGTTGGGGGCCTCCGGGGGGCCTCTTGGGGCCATCTTGGGGCCTCTTGGTGCCTCCTGGGCGCTTCGGGGGGCCATCTTGGAGGGCATGGATCCAAGAAGAGGGGAGCTTTAATGAGCGCTGCTCCCTCGGAAGGGCAAAATGAGCCCAAAACCTTAGTAAAATCAATAATATTGCCTTGACGGGAGGGGGGAGCTTGCATGAGCGCTGCCCCCTCAGAAGGGCCAAATGGAGCCAAAACCGTAGTAAAATCAATGTTTTTGGCTTCAAGGAAGAGGAGGGTACCTTATCTCCGTCCCCCCGTCGGGGCCAGAATCCTCGTGAGGGGTGTCGTTTTTTAGCCCTCCGAGGAGTCGAAAAAGACCCCCCCGGCGACCCGCGGAACACCCCCTCCAGGCCCAGGGGGAGGGGGGAGGGGGAGGGGTAAACCCCTCCCCGAAGGGGAAGAAGGGGGGTTGAGGACAGAGAGAGCTCGCTGAACCACTCACGCCCAAAGGGCTGGTGGGATTTGAGGATGTCTCGAGCGAAACGCTTGTTTTTCAGAATTTGTTGAGGATGTCTCGAGCGAAACGCTTGTTTTGTGTTATAGATTGTCCTCTCCTGGGGGCCTGAATTCTGAGGATCTCTCAAGTGGATTCGTGCCCTGGTCTTGAGGATGCCTCGAGCGAGACGCTTGGTTTCACGCCTCCAGGTGGCCCAGACAGATGTCTAGCATGAGGATTTGTTGAGGATGTCTCGAACCAGAGGCTTGTTTTCACGTGTCCAGGTCGCCCAGGCGGATGTCTAACATGAGCATTTGTTGAGGATGTCTCGAGCGAGACGCTTTGTTTGCACGTGTCCAGGTTGCCCAAGCGGATGTCTAGCATGAGGATGTGCTGACAACGTCTTGAGCGAAACGCGTGTTTTCACGTGTCCAGGTCGCCCAGGCACAGCACAGCCCTCGGCACGGTACATCAATATCGATACCTTAGCATTGCAGCCTGGCATGTTGCCTGGCACGTTCCGCGGAGCGTCCCGTGGCGAGTCCCCCTGGCACGTCGCGCGGTGCACGTCCATTGGCACGTTCCGTAGCGCGTCCCCTTGGCACGTCCCGCGGTGCGTGCCCATGGCACGTCCCCTGGCACGTCGCCTGGCGCGTCCCTTGGGACGTTCCGCGGCGCGTCCTCTTGGCATGTTCCCTCTGTCGATTAGTTCTGGGGCAGCTACCATCTGCTCAGGCAGCTCGAGCTTACGATCCAGATCAGTTCGGTGAGGACTCGGATGCCAGGGAGGACTCGATCCACAACGCTATATCTATATCTATAGAGAGAGAGAGAGAGAGAGAGAGAGAGAGAGCACAATCGCGGCATGACGCATCGCAGTTCAGCACGGCCCAGCACAGCACAGCCGTCGGCACGGTACATCAATATCGATACACTCAACTATACACTTTGGCACGAGAGAGAGAGAGAGAGCACAATCGCGGCATGACGCATCGCAGTTCAGCACGGCCCAGCACAGCACAGCCGTCGGCACGGTACATCAATATCGATACACTCAACTATACACTTTGGCACGTTCCTTGGCGCGTTCCGTGGCGAGTCCACCTGGCACGTCGCGCGGCGCGTCCCATGGCACGTCCCTCGGCACGTCCATTGGCACGTTCCGTAGCGCGTCCCCTTGGCACGTCCCACGGTGCGTCCCCATGGCACGTCCCCTGGCACGTCGCCTGGCGCGTCCCTTGGGACGTTCCGCGGCGCGTCCTCTTGGCATGTTCCCTCTGTCGATTAATTCTGGGGCAGCTACCATCCTGAGCAGCTCGAGCTTACGCTCCAGATCAGTTCGGTGAGGACTCGGATGCCAGGGAGGACTCGATCCACAACGCTATATAGAAAACAATCGCGGCATGGCACATCGCAGTTCAGCACGGCGTAGCACAGCACAGCCCTCGGCACAGTACATCATCATCGATACATTTAGCATTGCATGTGCCCGTCGCCCAATCAGGTGTCTTTGAAATGTTACAATGCCTTACATTTCTATATTCCTTTCCGGGTTCGTGGGTCGATCATGTTCTACTGCGCTGTCCCAGCGCGTTGGGCTGCCACGAGGCAGATCCTGCAGGACCAAGATTCAGCTGCGCGTGAGAGCGACCCTTCGCCAAATTGACCTTTGGTGCGGGCCCACCAGGGCTCCCTCAGGCACTGGCCCACGCGCTTGGATCTGGCCCCCTCCCTCCCCCGCAGCCCCCCCCCCAAGCTGCACACCAAAGGTCACCCCTACCTGCAGGGCCACGCCCTCCGTGCCACCGAGAGCTCATGGCAGCGTCTCCTTTCCCGATCCGCCCCAGGTTCTCCAGACACACATACCGCTACCCTTGCCTCGTTTGCGCCTCGTTGGGCCTCCTGGGAGGCCCTCGTCGCCACCGCTGGATTCGCCTCGGGAGTCTGGTCAGAAGGCACCCCAGGAGAGGGCCATGAAGCATCGGTATCGATACCGTCTGGTGCCTCAAATATCTTGCATGCCTCGCCCTGATGAGATTGGTAAGAGCGGTTTTCACAATCGTTGGCCACGATATGTTGGGGGGTCACGGCATTGTTGTGAGGTGTACGTTGATTTACCTCTCTCCTTCTTGTTCTATCTTCGAGTCGGCGACTACGAGGCGTCGGCGACTACGAGGCGTAGCTCGCGACGCACACATTCGAGATCCGATGTCAAAAAGGTTGCTCCTAATGTGGTTTCCTCGCTCTCGGCCCTCCTTTCCCCCTCCTCCATTCCTGCCCCCGCGGCCTCTCGCGTTTAATTTTGACGAGGGCCGGCAGAAGTCTCCACGGGCATGCTCCCGCAGAAAGGCACTCGGGATTACACGCACGCCCGAGCTGCTCAAGCATGTCGTTTTCCCCGCCGCTGCGTTCGCAGAAAGGCACCCGGGGTTGCACGCACACCCGGGCTGCTGACGCAGTTTTTCTGTTTACTCGACGCTTCCGCGCGCCATCCGCTGCAGGGCGGGGTGCGGCCGGGGACTTTTCCAGCGCCTTCTGCATGCGACTTCCGCACGCAGTACCGCATCGTTTCCTCTTGCTCCTCCCGCGGCGGTGCGCGCCGGC